AATTCGGAATTAAGTTTTTTATAGCTTTTTTGAAGTAAGGGATTATTGGAAAATCAATCCATATTTCTCCTTTTTCTGCTCTGACCCATTCTCCAGTTTGCTCCTTTGGATCAACTGAGTTTGATGATGCTTTCGGCTTTTCCATCTTTTCATCAGTAATTTAAATTTTACCATGTGACAAACTAACCTGGAATTTCCAAGGTATATGATGTTGAATCCTTATAGTTTCATTTACCAATAATTCCGTTTTTCATATTTTTGAGCAGTTGATTGATGGGGGATGAACATGAAGCAACTGATCCTCTCTCCACTCGGATAGATGAAAAACTTTCATCATTTTCAACAGTCTCATCACCAATGTGTTTCAAAGTACCTAATCTACTACGCAAGACAAATGAAAAGGCTTACGAACCTCAAATAATCTCAATCGGGCCTTATCATCATGGAAAAGAACATTTGGAAGGCATGGAAGCGCACAAAATGCATTGTCTAAAAGGGCTCCTTCAAAGAAGAAAGGAGACTAGTGTGCATAGATATGTGATGGCTTTGAAAGGTATGGAAGATGAGATTCGCAAATGCTATGCAGAACCATCGGCTCATGGAGATGCACTTGTGGAAATGATGCTCCTTGATGGCTGCTTCATCATTGAGCTAATTTGTGGGAATCTAACTTGGACGCGGAAAATTGATGAACAACGAGAAAAGAATGTTGATTTTCGAAACTTCAACTGGGTAAAGTTAAAGCGTGATTTATTACTGGTGGAAAATCAGCTGCCTTTCTCTGTACTATTGAAGCTGTTTCATATGACTGGGGAGCCTAATCAACAGAACGTTCAGAACTTCATTCGTATGGCTCTACGTTTCTTCTGTACACTGATGCCAGGCAATGGAAAAGGAATTGAACCTTTTTGGGTAATCTCTGACCCAAACATCGAGAATCTACTTGGCTTAGTGCATGATAGCTGGGGTCCTTCGCCTGAAGCAAGAGATAATTGCAGCAAAAATTCAGCACAGTATGGTGTATGGAAGTTTATACGTAATGCAACAGAGCTCAAAGAAGCAGGAATCAAATTCAAGAAGAAGGATAATGGGAAGAGCATCTTTGATATTCAGTTTGAGAACGGTGTACTGTGGATACCAACCATAGGAATGTATGATCAAACAGATTCCATCCTTCGTAATTTTATTGCCCACGAACAATGCCACAACAACTACCCAAGGTATGTCACTGATTATGTCACATTCATGGATTGCTTGATTAACACCAGGAAGGATGTTGAGTTACTCCGTCACTCTGGAATTATTGTCAATGGATTAGGTGATGATGAGGTTGTTGCCACCATATTCAACAGGCTATGCGACTCAGTCGTGTTTTCCAACAGGAACTTCTATTCGGAGATATTTATCAATGTGGAGAAATATTGTGGTAGAAAGTGGAATTTATGGATGGCAAACTTAAGGCACAATTATTTCAACACTCCATGGGCATTGATTTCGTTCCTTGCTGCTGTTTCCTTGCTCACACTTACAGCTGTACAGTACAAGCCATATATTCGCTTCTTTCTTATTATAAACACTAAGTAATGCCAAGTTGTTTCCTTAGAGCTTGAAATAAGTGAAGCTAAAAGCTCACATGAAAATGTAGTCATTTGAGTATCTGACTACTTGTAATGTAGTTTGTATGCAGATTACTAAAAACCTTGCCAGGGTTGTATATGTGTATCACTTATCATATAAGCAAGTGCTCTCAGTGCCAACAAAGCACGCTTTCCTTCTTTGATCTCCAAGAATCCCTGCAGCTGAAACACATCATGCATAAAGAAATTAGGAGATAAAACTGTTGATGAATGTCATTGTCAGAAATTTGGAAAACATAAATCCAAAACGAGAATTGAAACAGATAATTGTGAAACCTTGAATTTTCAAATAGTGCGACTACAAAAGGGAACGCAAGCGGTGACACTAAACGCATATAGTGACGGTTCACTACTGTTAGTGTTAAGAACAAAAAGGAACTTTTGTTGCCCGCTGTAGAGAAAATCGGTAAAGCAGGGGAGGTGCAGGGTACTCTGTTTTGCCTTGTCCAGTAAGTATGAAAAGGGCGGAGATATGTCATTATCGCTTACTATTGGGAGGAATGGGATCCACTCGTTTAAAAAAAAGAACGAAAACCGAAATAACCCTTTCCAATATAAAGTTATCTTATTGGCATGCTTCAAGTATGCACTGATGTTAAATATGAAAGTGAAAAAAAAAATATATATATATATATATATATTTTTTCTGGTAATGAGTAATTTAGCAAAAACAGATCATCCGTTTATACAAACTGGAAAGTTTATGGATATGTGACAAAAAACTAGGTTTTTTTTTTTTTTTTCACAGCAAAAAATAAATTTATTGCTTAGGAGTACAAGGGTACTCTAACCTGTTACATCCATGTTAATTGACAAACAACTAGTTCTTCAATGGTACTTGATGGGCCACTAATCTAAGTAATTTGGTAATAATTTTTTTTAATGAAAATAAAAATATTGAGTTTAAATTATATGGCATATAAATGAGATAAATCAAGGGATTAAAAAATTGTTTTTTATTGTGTAATCTAAGATAAAAAAAAAAAAAAGTACTTGATGGATTAACATATAGAAGACAAGTCTTACAAAATGTAACTGCACAATTTTATGTTTTGACAAGTGGAGTAAAAATAAGTAAAAAAAAAAATGAGAAGAATAATATTAAGAAGTAGCATTTTTTTATATGTCAACATATATATATAATAAAAACATGTTGAAATAGGAAAAAAAATGTCAAAAATAAGATATATAATGATAAATTGAGATACATGAAATGTCTAAAAAAGAATGATAGAGATGTGAGAGTATAATGATAATATATATATATAAGGTATAAAATTAAATATAATGATATAAAATATAAGAGGAATAGTTGAGAGATGGAATCTTTAACAAGACTTAATAAGAAGTGGACTAAAGGTAATTGAAAAATTAAATATCAAGAGAATAATACTATTAAGTCGTGTGTTTTATGTTTTGACTTAAAAACATTTCTAATATATATAAAAGGATAGATAGGAAGACAAATGGGTTAATATATATATATATATATATATGCAACAAATGATTAAAAAAGAACAATAGAGAGGAGAGAATAATGAATTA